AAAGGGTGGGCCAAGGTTACTTCAGATGGCAGTCACGCTGCATGCTGCAGGTCGACCTAGGTGTATAAAACAACTTGTGCATGATCTTTGACTTTATATAATGCATGCAAATTGCTTGTAGTAGTGAGCAAACAGGCACACAGAACATGTGAGTGGTCACATGATTTTTGAGTAATAAAATAAATTAGAAAAGATTAAAATAAATAATTAGTATTCACTATAATTCTGATTAATTGGTGTTAAAAGGGATTAATCTGTGTTTATAGTATTGTTAATCAAGGTTGCTTCACGGGTATCTAATAAATCTACTGTCGGAATCTTGTTTGATTTGGTCAAACAGACAATTATTAAGCCATTAATAGTGATTAATTAGTTAAACTAATAAACTGTCAAGGATTCCCTTTTCCATGTGCAAAGATTTGCTATGCATTCTTTAAACATGCACCTTTCTTGTTCATGACTTCATGCATTAATTGACCTAAATTTTGATTAAATTAATAAATTAAATTAAATTTAAATTAAAATCCGCAGGTCGCTTCCTTCCGATTTCAACACCAGCAACCGGGTGTGGGCGAGAACATTCTCCGGTGAGAGAGACAACAACCGAGTAGGAAGAGAGAGAAAGGGTTGGATGTTTATAGTCTACGATCTATCCGGCTCCGCGGTTGCCGCAGCGTCGATGGTCACGCCTTTCGTCCCATCACCAGGATCGGACCGCGTTTCGCGGTCCAATCCTGGTGCATGGCTCATCCTGTGCCCCAACGGCGTATCCATCAGCAGCTGGAAGCCGTGGGGCCGGCTCGAGGCGTGGAGGGAGCGCGGGCCCACCGACGGGCTCAGGTACAAATTCGAGCTCATCACCGACGCGGGCCTCACGAGTGGGGCCCCCATTGCGGAGGGGACCGTCAGTGTGAAGAAGGGTGGGGAGTTTAGCATTGATAATTCGAGGAGTGATTCGGCTTTGAGTTTTTTGTTGAAGAATCGAGGGTTTGTGATGGGTTCGAGCGTTGAGGGAGAGGGTAAAGTGAGTAAGCCGGTGGTTCAAGTCGGGGTGCAGCACGTGACTTGCATGGCCGATGCGGCTCTGTTTGTGGCTCTGGCGGCGGCGGTTGATCTTAGTATGGACGCTTGTCGGTTGTTTTCGAGGAAGCTTAGGAAGGAGTTTTGCCACGATGAACAAGAATCGATCAACTGAGGGTCGGTCCCACGTATGATATATATAGCGGCAACCAGACGAGACCTGAGAATTAATTTTTGTGTGAGGAAAGTTGTTTTGGATAAATTGTTAATCTTCTTGCAGTGAAAACCATTGGCTTGAGGAGCCTTGATTTGAGCTTGGGAGATGCCCCTTAATCTCCTTGTTTCTTGCCTCTTGATTTTATTTAATTATTTAATTATTTTTAATTTTTTTGTTTTTGGCTGAGTTATTACAAATGTTGTCTTTGATGAGAGAGTGTGTGGTAGCTACAAGGATTTTGATGTACTGAATTAATTGATAAGCTTGATGCTGATTTGTTCATGTGCAGTTTCCACACTAGCTTGTAACTAGACATGTTATTTTTTGTTCATTCTTTATATTCTTTGGTGAGAGCTGATTTTGTGATCACTTGATAATCAATAATTAATTATTTAACATAAGCTTTTTTTTTTTGGTATTTCGCTACTTTAATTTGTTCTTGTTCGAATTGCAAAACAACCTCTCGTGTTGAGTTGTTAGAGACTTAGAGTAACCACATCATGTGATCGAAAGTCAGAGAGATGTAGCCTCATTGGAGTTCACCATGTCTTAAGACAGTGAAATATTTTTTAAGGTTTGAAAATTGCTATTTACGGTTCATAACAAAAAATATCTTATCTCTCTAAAATCACAAAACCTCCCAAAAAAACCCAAAAACCCCCCAAACTGCAAATAGCAAAAAAAAAAAAAAGAAAAAGAAAAAAAAAATTGAAAATTCAAAATCAAGGTTGAAGAAGGGTTGGGCTTCGACTTTTTGACGTAATTTTGACTCCTTTATGCGTACTATGTATTGGGTAGGTCGATTAAGGAACCAATTTCATGTTAAAAAGCCTATATGACATTATGACTTTAATATATATTATTTCAGTTGAATGATCAACTGATCTAAAAACTTCTATTAAATAATTCGGACTGGGTCTCGATCTCCTCGTGATCGGTTCGGCTCATAAGATTTGGCCCACTTATGCCAAATCTACCCCATCTTTGTTATTTTTATTCTGAAATGCTATTCATAGAACAATTTTTACCGGCTTGCAGTGCGACTTTATTTCATTTGTAACTTTTCTTAAGAAAATTCAAAATCCTCTCAGACCCGGTCCAAGGTTCTTCGAGTTCTTGCGGATTAAACGAGCAATTCAACAATGATTTAAGGTAAAATTCGAACTCGAAATCGTTAACCCAATGTTTTATAGTAGTATATTAACAAATTTCGTCGAAAATCTATACGTTTTCAGTATTTTGAAAACATTTGAAACTTTTCGGAAATAAAGTTACGTTTCGTGTAGAAACTCACGAAATTAAGGGGCTAATTTCGTGAGTTTTTACACGAAATTCGCTTATTTGTTAATTTTTCTTACGTTTCGTGCACAATTATACGAAACGTATGCTAAGGTATCGTGAGATTTCTC